ATTATTTAGGACCTTACTTCTTAATTTCTTAACCACAGATCCACTCCGTTTTCACATATGTAGACACTGGAATGATGCTGGAGGTAATGAATATGAGGTTGAAAAGTGGTGGAATTGCCTTTCAAAGTGGCAATCAGCAGTTGAAACAATAACAAAACGTTTTCCTCACCCGTTTCGGTAAAAAGCTGGGAGAAATGTAACCACTCTCAAATTCATAGACAGAGCTATCTATGTATGCAAGGACTGACCATACATGATATAAAATATATAGTTTTAACCATGTTTTGAGGCTAATAGCGTTTGTTTACTTTTACTTTGTTTATATTTTGGGTTCTGATGGGGTACAACAGTTAAACTAAGTTCATTAGGCATTTATAAGTTATATTCATCAAGAATCAATGGGTTCATGTCATTAATTTCAATGTCCAAAAATGTATGTACAGTGCATTTGGAAAGTATTCAGAACAATTCACTTTTTCCACATTTTGTTACGTTACAGCCTTATTTTAAAATGGATTAAATAAAACATTTACCTTATCAATCTACACCAAATACCCCATAATGTCAAAGAAAAAACAGGTTTTTAGACATTAGTATTCAGACCCTTTGCTATGAGACTCGAAATTGACCTCAGGTTCATCATGTTTCCATTGATCATCCTTGAGATGTTTCTACAACTTGATTGGAGTCCACCTGTGGTAAATTCAATTGATTGAACATGATTTGGAAAGGCACACACCTGTCTATACAGTGGCTTGCGAAAGTATTCACCCCCCTTGGCATTATTCATATTTTGTTGCCATACAACCTGGAATTAAAATTGATTTTTGGGGGGTTTGTATCATTTGATTTACACAACATGCCTACCACTTTGAAGATGCAAAATATTTGTTATTGTGAAACAAACAAGAAATAAGACAAGAAAACAGAAAACTTGAGCGTGCGTAACTATTCACCCCCCCAAGTCAATACTTTGTAGAGCCACATTTTGCAGCAATTACAGCTGCAAGTCTCTTGGGCTATGTCTCTATAAGCTTGGCACATCTAGCCACTGGGATTTTTGACCATTCTTCAAGGTAAAACTGCTCCAGCTCCTTCAAGTTGGATGGGTTCCGCTGGTGTACAGCAATCTTTAATTGGATTGAGGTCTGGGCTTTGACTAGGCCATTTCAAGACATGTAAATGTTTCCCCTTAAACCACTCGAGTGTTGGTTTAGCAGTATGCTTAGGGTCATTGTCCTGCTGGAAGGTGAACCTCCGTCCCAGTCTCAAATCTCTGAAAGACTGAAACAGGTTTCCCTCAAGAATTTCCCTGTATTTAGCGCCATCCATCATTCCTTCAATTCTGACCAGTTTCCCAGTCCCTGCCGATGAAAAACATCCCCACAGCATGATGCTGCCACCACCATGTTTCACTGTGAGGATGGTGTTCTCGGGGTGATGAGAGGTGTTGGGTTTGCGCCAGACATATTGTTTTCCTTGATGGCCAAAAAGCTCAATTTTAGTCTCATCTGACCAGAGTACCTTCTTCCATATGTTTGGGGAGTCTCCCACATGCCTTTTGGCAAACACCAAACGTGTTTGCTTATTTTTTTCTTTAAGCAATGGCTTTTTTCTGGCCACTCTTCCGTAAAGCCCAGCTCTGTGGAGTGTACGGCTTAAAGTGGTCCTATGGACAGATACTCCAATCTCCGCTGTGGAGCTTTGCAGCTCCTTCAGGGTTACATTTGGTGTCTTTGTTGCCTCTCTGATGAATGCCCTCCTTGCCTGGTCTGTGAGTTTTGGTGGGCGGCCCTCTCTTGACAGGTTTGTTGTGGTCCCATATTCTTTCAATTTTTTAATAATGGATTTAATGGTGCTCCGTGGGATGTTCAAAGTTTCTGAGATTTTTTTATAACCCAACCCTGATTTGTACTTCGCCACAACTTTGTTCCTGACCTGTTTGGAGAGCTCCTTGGTCTTCATGGTGCCGCTTGCTTGGTGGTGCCCCTTGCTTCGTGGTGTTGCAGACTCTGGGGCCTTTCAGAACAAGTGTATATATACTGAGATCATGTGACAGATCATGTGACACTTAGATTGCACACAGGTGGACTTTATTTATCTAATTATGTGACTTCTGAAGGTAAGTGGTTGCATCAGATCTTATTTAGGGGCTTCATAACAAAGGGGGTGAATATATATGCACGCACCACTTTTCCGTTATTTATTTTGCATAATGTTTTGAAACAAGTATTTTTTTTCATTTCACTTCACCAATTTGGACTATTTTGTGTATGTCCATTACATGAAATACAAATAAAAATCCATTTAAATTACAGGTTGTAATGCAACAAAATAGGAAAAATGCCAAGGGGGATGAATAATTTTGCAAGGCACTGTATATGCTCCCACAGTTGACAGTGCATGTCAGAGCAAAAACCAAGACATGAGGTTGAAAGGAATTGTCCGTAGAACTCATAGACAGGATTGTGTCGAGGCACAGATCTGGGGAAGGGTACCAAAAAATTTCTGCAGCATTGAAGGTCCCCAAGAACACATTGGCCTCCATCATTCTTAAATGGAAGAAATTTGGAACCAGGGGAGGTGACCAAGAACCCGATGGTCACTCTGATAGAGCTCTAGAGTTCCTCTGTGGAGATGGGAGAACCTTCCAGAAGGACAACCATCTCTGCAACACTCCACCAATCAGGCCTTTATGGTAGAGTGGCCAGACAGAAGCCACTCCTCAGTAAAAGGAACACGACAGCCCGCTTGGAGTTACCAAAAGGCACCTAAAGGACTCTCAGACCATGAGAAACAAGATTATCTGGTCTGATGAAACCAAGATTGAACTCTTTGGCCTGAAGCCAAGCATCACGTCTGGAGCAAACCTGGCACCATCCCTACGGTGAAAACCTGCTCCAGAGCGCTCAGGACCTCAGACTGGGGCAAAGGTTCACCTTCCAACAGGACAACAACCCTAAGCACACAGCCAAGACAACGCAGGAGTGGCTTCGGGATAAGTCTTTGAATGTCCTTGAGTGGCCCAGCCAGAGCCCGGACTTGAACCCGATCAAACATCTCTGGAGAGACCTGAAAATAGCTGGGCAGTGTCACTCCCCATCCAACCTGACAGAACTTGAGAGGATCTGCAGAGAGGAATTGGAGAAACTCCCCAAATACAGGTGTGCCAAGCTTGTAGAGTCATACCCAAGAAGACTTGAGGCTGTAATCGCCGCCATAGGTGCTTCAACAAAGTACTGAGTACAGGGTCTGAATACTTACGTAAATGTGATATCAGTTTTTTATTTCTAATAGATTTGCAAAAATTTCTAAAAACCTGTTTTGCTTTGTCATTATGGGGTATTGTGTGTAGATTGATGAGAAAAACAACAACAATTTATTCAATTTTAGAGTAAGGCTGTAACGTAACAAAATGTGCAGATTGTCACATTAAACATTGTTTATTCGTTTTCTGTTGTAATCTAATTTAATACTAAGTAGCACAGCTTAGTATTTTATTTTGTATTCTTGCATTTTGTATTTATTAAGGAACCCCATTAGCTGCTGCACATTAAGTGTGTTCCCTCAGGCCACTACTCTACTACCACATATCTACAATCCAAGATCCGTGTGTACGTGTGTGTAGAGTGTGTGTCTTATGTGTATGTGCCTGTGTGTGTGTCTCTTCACTGTCCCCGCTGTTGCATAAGGTCCCTGCTGTTCCATAGTATAGAGTGTGGAGCAGAGCTCATGGAAAACCACAGGTTCTGCTGGTTTTAGCAGTCAGTCATCTCAGCAGTTTTTACAGGTAGCTTCTATACTGAACAAAAATATAAAGGCAACATGTAAAGTATTGGTCCCATATTTCATGAGCTGAAATAAAATATACCAGAAATGTTCCATACACACAAAAAGCTTATTTCTCTATAAATAAAAAAAATCACAAATTTGTTTACAAACCTGTTAGTAAGTATTTCTCCTTTGCCAAGATAATCCATCTACCTGACAGATGTGACATATCAAGAAGCTGATTAAACAGCATGATCATTACACAGGTGCAACTTGTGCTGGGGACAATAAAAGGCCACTCTAAAATGTGCAGTTTTGTCACACAACACAATGCCAAAGATGTCTCAAGTTGAGGGAGCATGCAATTGGCATGCTGACTGCAGGAATGTCCACCAGAGCTGTTGCCAAATAATTTAATGTTAATTTCTCTACCATAAGCCTATGCCCTCCCAGGCCCACCCATGGCTGCGCCCCTGCCCAGTCATGTAAAATCCATAGATTAGGGCCTAATTTATTTAAATTAGATTTACTTATATGAACTCAGTAAAAATCTTTGAAATTGTTGCATGTTGCATTTATATTTTTGTTCAGTGTAAAAACACTTTAAAAAATGGCTGTGTAGGCTTACCGCGTGACTTTTGATTTATTGATTCAATTTCCAATTGGCATCTAATTTACAAATTTAGACTAGCTAGAGGGTGACCTTGCACTTTCTATAACGGCCTTAACCTTCCGTGACATTTATCCTTGAAAAGGTACTGTATGTCTTATCTTACAAATCCAGGCACAAATTATATTTTGCATGTTTTTATTGATATGTCAACCACAAGAATAATTCTGGAAGAGGGTTAGAAAAGTAGGCAACCAACAAACACAAATGGAAAGCAGAACACTGTGTCATGTTGATAAAATAGTGATATGGCTTGAATCATTTAGAAAACTAACAAATTGTAACCAAAGTATTAAGCCACAATTTATTTCACACTAGTTTCATGAAGAGGAATGGGATTTGGAAAGAAAGAAAATGCAACAAAACAACCCTGCTGGTTTATCAAAATGTGGTGCAGTAAAAAAAAAAAACAGTCTCAACACAAAACATTTAAATATCAAGGCCAGTGTATGAAAAATATTTACAAACCCTTTTCATTAAATTGAACGAAATAGCAACAAAAGTACCAACAATTGCATAATTTGGTCTCACAGTAGACAGTCAAGTTTTCAGGCTGTCAAGCCACCGCTTGGAGAATTATAGCCACTACCTTGTTACAAACAACGAGCCAGCATGTGATTCCAACACCACCTGAAACACAGGCACAAGAGCAGGTGAATGAATAATCATTATATTACCATTTAGATACAGAGAGATATAGTCCCAGAGACCAGATCAATGTAATCTAACCTCATTTAAATAGGTAAATGTTCAAGATTCTCAAAATCACAGATCAAGCTAAACAACTTAAATCATAAAGATTTGACAAATCCACCGGCAGGGATTTAGAAGTGATCCATAGGTATTACTGTTCTTAGAGAAACAGACTTTATGATTTAAACAGAGCTGAGGAAACATCTGCTCTCTTTGAGCTTTAAAACAAAACAGACATTGAGTTGAATGGATTGAGTTGAATGGGTTGAATAGCACAAACACAATCCTCATTTACATCCATTACTGTTCAGTTATATCAACAGTAGGGGTATCTGCATACCTAAAGGAAGCTACAGGTGCAAAGTATTTGTATTTATTATGGATCCCCATTTGCTGCTGCCAAGGCAGCAGCTACTCTTCCTGGGGTATAGCAAAATTAAGGCAGTTATACATTTTTAAAAACATTACAATACATTCATAACAGAATTCACAACATATTAAGTGTGTACCCTCAGGCCTCTACTCTACTACCACATACAGTGAGGGGAAAAAGTATTTGATCCCCTGCTGATTTTATACGTTTGTCCACTGACAAAGAAATTATCACTCTATAATTTTAATGTTAGGTTTATTTGAACAGTGAGAGACAGAATAACCACAACAAAAAAATCCAGAAAAACACATGTCAAAAATGTTAGAAATTGATTTGCATTTTAATGAGGGAAATAAGTATTTGACCCCCTCTCAATCAGAAAGATTTCTGGCTCCCAGGTGTCTTTTATACAGGTAACGAGCTGAGATTAGGAGCACACTCTTAAAGGGAGTGCTCCTAATCTCAGCTTGTTACCTGTATAAAAGACACCTGTCCACAGAAGCAATCAATCAATCAGATTCCAAACTCTCCACCATGGCCAAGACCAAAGAGCTCTCCAAGGATGTCAGAGACAAGATTGTAGACCTACACAAGGCTGGAATGGGCTACAAGACCATCGCCAAGCAGCTTGGTGAGAAGGTGACAACAGTTGGTGCGATTATTTGCAAATGGAAGAAACACAAAAGAACTGTCAATCTCCCTCGGCCTGGGGCTCCATGCAAGATCTCACCTCGTGGAGTTGCAATGATCATGAGAACGGTGAGGAATCAGCCCAGAACTACACAGAGGATCTTGTCAATGATCTCAAGGCAGCTGGGACCATAGTCACCAAGAAAACAATTGGTAACACACTACGCCGTGAAGGACTGAAATCCTGCAGCGCCCGCAAGGTCCCCCTGCTCAACAAAGCACATATACAGGGCCGTCTGAAGTTTGCCAATGAACATCTGAATGATTCAGAGGAGAACTGGGTGAAAGTGTTGTGGTCAGATGAGACCAAAATCAAGCTCTTTGGCATCAACTCAACTCGCCGTGTTTGGAGGAAAAGGAATTCTGCCTATGACCCCCAAGAACACCATCCCCACGTCAAACATGGAGGTGGAAACATTAGGCTTTGGGGGCTTTACTATTCTTAGGTAGGGGAATAACTTTTGCTTCCCTCCAGGCCTGAGGGCACACACTTTCTAGTAGGCTTACATTGAAGATATGGCAAATAGGAGTGGCAATATCGTCCGCTATTATCCTCAGTAATTTTCCATCCAAGTTGTCAGACCCCGGTGGCTTGTCATTGTTGATTGACAATAATACTTTTTTCACCTTTTCCACACTTACTTTACGGAATTCAAAATGACAATGCTTGTCTTTCATAATTTGGTCAGATATACTTAGATGAGTAGTGTCAGCGTTTGTTGCTGGCATGTCATGCCTAAGTTTGCTAATCTTGCCAATGAAAAAATAATTAAAGTAGTTGGCAATATCAGTGGGTTTTGTGATGAATGAGCCATCTGATTCAATGAATGATGGAGCGGAGTTTGCCTTTTTGCCCAAAATTTCATTTAAGGTGCTCCAAAGCTTTTTACTATCATTCTTCATGTCATTTCTCTTTGTTTCATAGTGTAGTTTCTTCTTCTTTTTATTCAGTTTAGTCACGACTTCTCAATTTGCAGTACGTTTGCCATTCGGTTGTACAGTAGTGTAGGCTATATACTGTACAGTAAGTTCAGTTATCCTGAAATATCAGAGCAAAATCACCTAGCCAGTCCCTGTGTGTCTGAAATAACACCCTATTCCCTATATAATATAATAGTCCCGTGTAGCTCAGTTGGTAGAGCATGGCGGTTGCAATGCCAGGGTTGTGGGTTCGATTCCCATGGGGGACTAGTATGAAAATGTATGCACTCACTACTGTAAGTCGCTCTGGATAAGAGCATCTGCTAAATGACTAAAATGTAAATAATGCACTACTTTGAAGAGTGTCCTTTGGTCAAAGGTAGTGCACTATATAAGGAATAGGGTGCCATTTGAGCCTAAACCCCTGCTGGTGTTAAAGCCCCTCTCAGGGCAGGTGCTGTAATCGGTTTTACCTGCTACTCCAGATGGGAAGGCCACCATTCGCTCTAGAGGAGAAATCCACTTACTGGGCAGGACCGTCACTGGGTCAGCATAGTACTTCCAGATCAGAGAGATCATTAGCACAGCCTGGGAGAGACGGAAGGGAAGGGGATGGGAGGGACGTCACTCTCTGCCACTTGCTCCCATTGGACTGTTCATCTGTCAGTCATCATCCACAGTCCCATATCTCTATTAAATATTTGCATAGTTTCCTATTGCAAGATTGTGAAATAATCCTAGCTACTATGAAAATATACCAATAAATGTTTTAAAAAATTTAAAATAAATCAGCTCTAGGTCACTTACCTGCAGAATATAGTACACTATGTTGACGACCCATTTGATTTTGGTCTGCTGACCAGTTCTGGATTTAACTGAGGGAAGAAAAGAAAATACAAACTTCAGACAACAAACTGATGACTTGGTGTGGTTTCCCCACATGGAGACAATGTATCACAATGGGACTGTAAAGGCGTCCGCAGGTTTCCCATCCGAAACTGTTTGGAACAGTTTGTGCATATATTATGACGACATTTTGTGACGTTTTTGTTCGTTTTGGTCTTCGGCAAGGGTTTCTTCTGTTCGTGGACACAAAAACATTTGAGGCGAGCCGAAATCTACGCCCCTTCGTCGGTGATTGGTCAACAGTAGGGATTCTTCAGTGAAGTGTTTGTCATTCAACGAGAGACATTGTTTTCATGCACACTCGTTCGGTTCACCTAGCCGATTTCGGCTACGTGCCAGGTGAACCGAAGCATGCGGAAGGCAAAAGGCATCAGCTATGCTAGGCGAACCAAAAGAGTGTGCTCACATACTCCCTTAAAAGACCTTCGCTTGAAAAACTAGAAAAAAGCAGCAATAGTACTGTTTGTCCATCTTGAGATGCCTTAGCCAGTATACGCTGCCTCAAAAGAGTCCGAATTAATCTAAAGATAACTCAAGAAATCGGTCATTAATTTTAAAGTTTTTGCAGAGATCTTAGTCGCACAATTTTACATCTAACTAAGATGTTTGGTGCAGTATTTGTCAAGTGAAAAAATTTGCATGATTAGTCTCTCGTTGAATGACAACAAACACTTCATTACTATTGACCAATCACCAACGAAGGGGCATAGACTTCGGCTACCAACTTTGGCTCGCCACAAGAAAAACATTTGTGTGCACGAACAGCCAAGAAAACCCTTGCCGAAGACCAAACCGAACAAAAACATCACTAAACTATCATCATAATATATACACAAACTTTTCCAAACTGTCTTTAAGGCCAGCAGGTGAGACTGTACGACAGCTGGTTAGAAGGGGTTGAAAGAGACAGAGTGACAGAGAGATCAGCAGAAGTGTTGCCCCTCCTCAAAGAAGCTTTGGTCAAGCCACTGGAAGTGTCTGACATCAAGGTCACCTTCATCCTCCTCCAGCTCTACCCTGAGGATTATGGGACATTTCTAATTCAAAACCCTCCATGGATTCATACCGATAGCTGCATTCACTTCATCACTATAGCCAACTACCCTAAAGATATGAAAACTTCTCCTGAAAATGATTTCCCTGTGCCATTGTCCTTGGATTATGAATTTGAAATGATAGGAGTGGTAGAGTTACTGTATCTGTGACTCCAGTGAGAACAGGAATATGCTACCAATACACATTTCTTTTAAGGGTAGAATGTGCTGTATGGGGTATAGTACGAACTACTTAAAATGGCCTCTACGAGTATATACAGTGCCTTCAGAAAGTATTTACACCCCTAGGCTTTTTAAAAACATTTTGATGTGTTACAGCCTGAATTTAAAATGGATTACATTTAGATGTTGTGTCACTGATCTACAAACAACGCCCCATAATGTCAAAGTGGAATGATGTTTTTAGAAATGTTTACAAATAAATAAAAATTGAAAAGCTGAAATGTCTTGAGTCAATAAGTATTCAACCCCTTTGTTATGTTATGCGTAATGTACAAATGTGCTTAACAAGTCACATAATAAGTTGCATGTACTAACTGTGTGCAAGAAAGGTGTTTAACATTAATGACTACCCCATCTCTGAAGTTATTAAGTACACTTTGGATGGTGCATCAATACACCCAGTAATTACAAAGATACAGGTGTCCTTCCTAACTCAGTTGACAAAGAGGAAGGAAACCGCACAGGGATTTCACCATGAGGCCAATGGTGATTTTAAACCAGTTACAGAGATTAATGGCTGTGACAGGAGAAAACTGAGGATGGATCAACAACATAGCAGTTACTCCACAATACTAACCTAAATGACAGAGTGAAAAGAATGAATCCTGTACAGAATAAAACATATTCCTAAACATGCATCCTGTTTGCAATAAGGCACTACTGCAAAATACAGTGGGGAAAAAAAGTATTTAGTCAGCCACCAATTGTGCAAGTTCTCCCACTTAAAAAGATGAGAGAGGCCTGTAATTTTCATCATAGGTACATGTCAACTATGACAGACAAAATGAGAAAAGAAAATCCAGAAAATCACATTGTAGGATTTTTTATGAATTTATTTGCAAATTATGGTGGAAAATAAGTATTTGGTCAATAACAAAAGTTTCTCAATACTTTGTTATATACCCTTTGTTGGCAATGACACAGGTCAAACGTTTCTGTAAGTCTTCACAAGGTTTTCACACACTGTTGCTGGTATTTTGGCCCATTCTTCCATGCAGATCTCCTCTAGAGCAGTGATGTTTTGGGGCTGTCGCTGGGCAACACAGACTTTCAACTCCCTCCAAAGATTTTCTATGGGGTTGAGATCTGGAGACTGGCTAGGCCACTCCAGGACCTTGAAATGCTTCTTACGAAGCCACTCCTTCGATGCCCGGGCGGTGTGTTTGGGATCATTGTCATGCTGAAAGACCCAGCCACGTTTCATCTTCAATGCCCTTGCTGATGGAAGGAGATTTTCACTCAAAATCTCACGATACATGGCCCCATTCATTCTTTCCTTTACACGGATCAGTCGTCCTGGTCCCTTTGCAGAAAAACAGCCCCAAAGCATGATGTTTCCACCCCCATGCTTCACAGTAGGTATGGTGTTCTTTGGATGCAACTCAGCATTCTTTGTCCTCCAAACACGACGAGTTGAGTTTTTACCAAAAAGTTCTATTTTGGTTTCATCTGACCATATGACATTCTCTCATACCTCTTCTGGATCATCCAAATGCACTCTAGCAAACTTCAGACGGGCCTGGACATGTACTGGCTTAAGCAGGGGGACACGTCTGTCACTGCAGGATTTGAGTCCCTGGCGGCGTAGTGTGTTACTGATGGTAGGCTTTGTTACTTTGGTCCCAGCTCTCTGCAGGTCATTCACTAGGTCCCCCTGTGTGGTTCTGGGATTTTTGCTCACCGTTCTTGTGATCATTTTGACCCCACGGGGTGAGATCTTGCGTGGAGCCCCAGATCGAGGGAGATTATCAGTGGTCTTGTATGTCTTCCATTTCCTAATAATTGCTCCCACAGTTGATTTCTTCAAACCAAGCTGCTTACCTATTGCAAATTCAGTCTTCCCAGCCTGGTGCAGGTCTACAATTTTGTTTCTGGTGTCCTTTGACAGCTCTTTGGTCTTGGCCATAGTGGAGTTTGGAGTGTGACTGTTTGAGGTTGTGGACAGGTGTCTTTTATACTGATAACAAGTTCAAACAGGTGCCATTAATACAGGTAATGAGTGGAGGACAGAGGAGCCTCTTAAAGAAGAAGTTACAGGTCTGTGAGAGCCAGAAATCTTGCTTGTTTGTAGGTGACCAAATACTTATTTTCCACCATAATTTGCAAATAAATTCATTAAAAATCCTACAATGTGATTTTCTGGATTTTTTTTTCTCAATTTGTCTGTCATAGTTGACGTGTACCTATGATGAAAATTACAGGCCTCTCTCATCTTTTTAAGTGGGAGAACTTGCACAATTGGTGGCTGACTAAATACTTTTTTTCCCCACTGTATGTGGCAAAGAAATTAACTTTTTGTCCTAAATCAAAAGCATTATGTTTGGGGCAAATCCTACACAACATATCACTGAGTACCACTCTTCATATTTCAAGCATGGTGGTGGCTGCATCATGTTATATGCTTGTCATCGGCAAAGACTAGGGAGTTTTTTAGGATAAAAAGAAAAGGAACAGAGCTAAGCACAGGCAAAGTCCTAGAAGAAAACCTGGTTCACTGGGAGACAAATCCACCTTTCAGCATTACCATAACCTAAAACACAAAGCCAAATATACACTGGAGTTACTTACCAAGACAACATTGAACGTTCCAGAGTGCCTTACTTACAGGTTTGACTTGAAAATCGGCTTGAAAATCTATGGCAATACTTGAAATGACTGTCTAGCGAAGATCATTAACCAACTTGACAGAGCTTGAATTTTAAAAAGAATCATGAGCAAATATTGTACAATCCAGGCTCTTAGAGACTTACCCAGAAAGACTTAGCGGTAATCGCTGCCAAAGGTGATGCTAACATGTATTGACGCAGTGAGTTGAATACTTATCTAATCAAAATATATTAGTGTTTTATTTTTCCTTTATTTATTTGTTTCTTCCACTGTGGCTTGTGGAAGTGTTGTGCTGCTGAATGGTATTTTGTGTAGATTGTTGACAAAAAATGACTATTAAATCTAATTGAATTCTACTTTGTAACAACAAAATGTGGAAAAAGTCAAGGGGTGTGAATACTTTCTGAAGGCACTTTATCAGTTCCATTTGGACTGAATAACGGCCCTGTATTTGGTCGGCACTGTGGAAGTGGTGTGCTGCTGAATGGCACTTTCTTGAAATGGGCACGTTCTTGAAATGGAGCCCCTTTCCTTCCTCTCTCTTTTACTGTCAGGGGCTCAAGAGATTAAGCGGGAAAATGTTAAATGGTGAGTGACGTGAGAGAAAGCTGATGGCAACAGGCTGCAGCTGTGCAGATGCCCCCCAAGTGAACACTCGGAGCTATTACCCTCCCTCTTAACATACAGTGAGTGTACAAAACATTAAGAACACCTGCTCTTTCCATGATATAGCTTTCACCTGGTCAGTCTATGATCCCTTATTGATGTCACTGGTTAAATCCACTTCAAATCCGTGTAGATGAAGGGGAGGAGACAGGTTAAATAAGGATTTTTAAGCCTTGAGACAATTGAGACATGGATTGTGTATGTCAAATCAAATCACATCACATTTTATTGGTCACATACACATATTTAGCAGATGTTATTGCGAGTGTAGAAAATTGCTTGTGTTCCTAGCAACCAACAGTGCATTAGTATCTAACAATTCACAACAACACACACAAATCTAAAATTAAAATAATGGAATTAAGAAATATATAAATATTAGGACGAGCAATGTCGGAGTGGCATTGACTAAAATACAG